TTAACAGACACGATTCACGCCAATTTGCACTGTCATGAGCAATAAGATGAGAGGCAACCTGTGCGCAACGAAGGACGCTACATATTGAAGCATCATGAGAGAGACCGAGAACAGACTCAAGAAATGATTAATCATATCAATAATACTTTATAGAAGGAAATCAATTTTGGCAGAGAAATCATTTCAAGCACATGGGAGCAGCGAAAATGGTCAGCAAATCAGACCCCTTTGAACGCGGCGTTGTGAAAAGAGACTTCCAAAATGGCAAAGGAGATAATGGAAGGGCAAAGAAAAACTAACAGCAAATAATGCACGGTCTTAGAAGAGGAAAGAACTTAGAGTGACACGCCGGTACATCCTGAAGAATTCTAGCGACAAGGACCGCGACCTAACGATTGTAGGGAACATTTATTGTTGATAAAGCGACTGTTGGAAGTGAAGATCTCATCAGAAATGAATTGTCAGCTTCAATATCTGTCTTAAATGAAGTACCACCTATTTTAGACAGTTGTTGAGAGTATGTGGTCCTTCAGAATGTGCGAAGTGTAGAAGAAACACAATGATGGGTGCAGGTTTATGCACATGTTACTAAAGGTTTCCATTCAAATAGTGAATGTTTATGAGCTTGTTGAGAATAAAAATACTTTTCAGCATATAATTATCAGCAGACTGTGCGAGTTGTTATGTAAAAGCCGTCAATACAATTACTTTTGTGTGAATTCCGCTATCAACGGTCAGGCGGGCATAACTCCTTCCTTCTGTATTCTCACGATATTCCTATGCGGTGAGGTTATGGTTATGATTGACTCTAAGCTAACACCAGCCAATCTGTCATCCTGGCCACGTCGGCATGGTATCACATGTCACGTGATGCATCTCACTCCACTTATCTCCTGATCCTCAATGATCTGCTCATGCCCTGTTATACGCTCTGTTTCGTAGTTTCCGTGCTATTGCCAATAACGCTGCTCGACATAACGCTTTGCAGTTTCGCAATTATTCAATCGCTGAGTACTGTGGCAGGAAATGTGACTTTCCGGACAAAAAGTTCATTTTGAGAGGCAAACACTTTGTGTGGTCGATGTCGCACTGATCACCAACTGCAATTGCAATTACAATGATCCCACTGGACCAGCTCTTGAGCTGCTCGATAAGATGATCTGTTGATTCAAATCAGTGGCTTCAAATGTACGACAATTAATTATCCATTGATTGATGACTTTTGCACATCTATAAGTGAAAAACTTTTACTCTAAGTCTTCTATGACACTGGCTGCTGCGTCAAAATCATGCTAAAACGTAGAAACTGCTGTTTGATTCGTAGAAATCGGGAACGTTGGAAGCACTGTCTGAAATGAGCGCAATCCAAAATGAGCAATCACTGCAACTGACTGACTGATTGACTGATATCGCTGATGGTATAAACAATAAAGTCATTTCGATTAAAATTTTCCATTGACAGCTTCGGCTTGCATGTGTCTACAAGATGTAAATTTTAATTCGGTTGCTAAGTAAAATACGTCTTAGGCTATGGAAAAAATTTACTGACCATCATCACAAGATTTACCTGTTTAGTGTATCTATGTATATTCTAAGCAATTCTTTGAACGCTGGATGGAACGTACAACGTTTTCGCTATAAGATGCTCTTCATATATTGCAGTTTTCTCGAAGCCACTTTTAGGGTTCAGTGTTAAGGTGTTAGTCAAATAATCAAGCGTGTAAACAGTATGCACATTTGCCGGCCCGTTAGAGGCTTTTAATGGCGACTCTTTATTGAAACTAGGGATCATCTTTTCGATTCCCTCATTCCCATTTCACATTTATCTTTATTAACGCTAAATTTACATAACCTTAAGATGGGGAAGAACGAACTTTAGCCTTCTATCATCTCATTTTCATGGTCAGAA